TGCTTGGGAATAATAACACACCACCTCACTGAAATTTCTAAAAATAGGTACTATTTATCAAATGCCTAGTCTGCACCAAGTCCTGGGCTATGCAAGTATACATATTATCTCATTTAATTCTCTTTTGAGATAGTTCCTATTATGTCCATTTTACAAAAGATAAATGTGGGACTAGAGCATCCAAGTAATTTAACTAAGGTCATTCAGCTTCTCTGGTAGTGGGAGCATGCCTAATCCTTGCTCATTATGTCCAAAAAATTCTCTTAAGAGAAACATTTTAAAAAGTCAATTTGGCTTTCCTGAGAACCAAAAATATTGATTTACTGTTCTAATCAAATATATTAAAGAATGAATGGTTAATTAATAAGTAGATTAACATTTTACATAACACAGGAGGGTATTATTTATGTGATATAATAAACCTGAAAAATTATTTTTTATTTTAATCACTCTATATGAGTGTATGCTCTACTTCATCACAGACTCCACCAGAGGCCCCTTCACATATTAAATTCCATGCTGATTTTGGAAAGTGTTTGGGCTTGCAGTCCTTGCTTGATGAATGTAGTTAAGAATAAGAGCTAGTTTTAACCTGAGCATATTCAGCTGGTTGTAACAGAATACTACTCTCTCCATATAAAGAAGTGGTCAGTAGTCACACACCTTGTTCCTTGATACACTAGTCATTCTTAGTAAAAACATAGAGGTTATGCAATTTAATGTCATTTGGTGTCTTCCTGTTCCTTGAGATCTAGATTGGCTAAACATCCAACTTCTAAGATTTGTATAAATTCCTGGGGTAGGCGAGTTCTTTCCTTCTGCTTTCTTAGTTATTTCTTTGCCAATCGAAGGATCTCCAGGCTAGAAATGCAGCCCTTTCCATATGTTTGTCATAAAACCTACTAACACAAAGTATTCCCTAGTAAAGTGGGTTTACTGAAGAACTGAAGGTGATGGAATTAGTTGTATCCCACAAGATAGGGCAAATCAACAGAAAGAATTACCATCCATTTCACAGTTCTATTCTTAAAAGTCCCGTTGGTTATATTTTCAGAGGGATTTCTCAGAGTAGGGGCTGGGCTACGCCAGAAAGAACGAGATTGGGATTCAGAGTAAGTAGGGGTTTGGGGTCATGTGATATCAGTCAACCTAGAGACCTAGATTAACCGTTTGGGCAATCAATCAGTTATGCCTATGTAATTAAGCCCCAATAAAATCTCTGGAACCAAAGCTCAGGTAAGCTTCCCTGACTGGCAATACTCTGTGCTTATTGCTGCATACCACGGTTGATAGAGCAATGTATTGTGGTTCAACGGAGAGAGAACAGTGGAAGCCCTGTGCTTGGTTCTTCTCCTGGATTCTGCCTTGTGCACTGCTGCCCTGGGCTGAGCTTAGTTCGAATGCCTTTCCTGTAAAACACTGCGACCATAAGTATAATAGCTTTCGGGGAGGTCTGTGAGTTCCTCCCAGCAAGTCAAAACTGAGACGGGTTTTGGCAACTCCCAGCACATGGAGTAGGTTCCAGAAGTGAAGATGGCCTCGGAGACTGTGCCCAACTTTGTACTTGGCCTAAATCCTCATACCATGTTAAATAGAATTCTTCTAAGGGAGAGGGTAAAGGAATGTTATTTTACCATTTAAAAATGATTTAAAACAATTTTGAGGGGAAGAGGAAAATGGTGAGGAAGGTAAAGTCTTTCTAAAGACTAATTGGCACATAGTTCTGAGTAATTTTCTGTTAGAAAAATAGATAATTATGGTAAAATAAAATAATTTAAACACTACATATTTGTAAAAAAGGCTGCTTTAATAGGCTGACATCATTAATAGCACTATATTTTGACACCAAATATTCATTCATGAAAAGATATTAAGTAAAATCATTTTAAACTATTATGACATAGATAGTAATATTATAGAAAGAATAATGTTTGCATAAAAATAAAAAGCACTTAATTCTATTACATGCCTCATTATGTAAAATCAGTACTTTGTTTGCTTCATGCTCTAAGAAAATGATAATCCTATTATTAAACTACTATATCAGTAAACCATGTGATTAGATTGGAATTAAAAAAAAACTTTAGAAATTAAAAATATTTTATTTTAAAATAAATTGAGAATAGAAAAAAATAATAAAAATTAACAAATTTGTGGCACTGTGATTGCCCTTTGTAAAACATTTGAATACTCTAAACTTAATATTCTTTTTTTTCTTAATAAAATTGCTCTTTTTCCCCCCTAGACTCTCAATTTGAAACATATTGCTCTTTACTTATTTTATTCTGAAATCAATAATAGGGTCATTATTTTCATACTTTTCACATGTAATGAAAGACACAAATTGTTTTATGTCAAAATATTACATTGCACTTAGAGTTATTGACTCTTCATAGTAAATTCTCCAAAAGCTTTAATTAAATTATCCTAAAAGTTTAATGCTAAGCTCATTTTAAAAGTCAGCTCTTTTCAAAACATTAGAAATTAGGTGGTAATGATGGGTCTACTTCTATAAAGCAATAATAAGTGACTTTATCATTTATTCTCATTTGCTCTATATTTGGTGAAGGTGTGGCATTGAAATGCCTCAGAAGGAAAGCAAAGAGAAAACACTATATCACTTCCAATATAGCTGTGTGTGTAGAAAAGCTTTCCTGGAGGTTTTATAAATGGCACTAGCACTTTTCATACCTCAGGAGAAGTAGAACTTCTCCGTGGTCAACAGAAAGCTTACAAAGCAAGTAAAGATCATGGACCTCAGCACATTCTAGCCACAAATTAGATACGAATGCTCTCTATATTTTTCACTAAAAACCACAGCTTGGCTGAATTACAGAATGCTTCCCTTCAGATGAGGAGAGTTGAATCACATACTGGAAATGGTGATAGCACAGCTCAGGGATATTCCAAAGTGTATATGTGGTTTACCACTTAGAAATTTCCCAAATTTGAATCAAAAGACTACCAAAATATAAATGCCTATATCTTCCTTCCCCCCTGCCACGAACTAACTCGATCCTGCAGTATAAATGAATCTGAATTACTAAGTTATATTAACAACTGAATTAATCAGAATGAAAAATATTACAGATATGGTATAGACAAGGGCTAGATAAAATGGATAGCTCATAACGGCTATATATCAACAAAAACATATTTTTTGTTCTGTCAAAGTTCAGAATGAAGGCATCTATATTGAAGGATGGAAGAAAGCACATCCTTTTAAGTGAAGAGTTTAGAAACTTGTAAGTAAAAATAAATATATATGTATAATACATGCTGTATCCATGAAAAATAAAACATTTGTTTTTTACTTTTGACTGGTTATGTTAAAGAAAACTTAACTATAGCAAATACATTATATGCAACTTTAAACTCAAACACCACCATCATCAACATGACTAACAGTAAATATTTAGTAAAGGACTCCAAGGTGCCAGGAACTACTATAAATACTTTACACGTGCAAACTCACTTGCTCTTAACAACAGCCCTGTGTGATAGGTAATTTTCTTAAGCATTTTTATTTATTTTTTAAATATAATTTTATTGATTTCAGAGAGGAAGGGAGGAGAGAGAAAGAAAAATCAATGATGGGAGAGAATCATTGATTGACTGCCTCCTGCACAGCCCACACTGGGGATGGAGCCTGCAACCTGGGCATATGCCCTGACCGGGAATCGGACTGTGACTTCCTGGTTCATAGGTTGACACTCAACCACTGAGCCACGCAGGCCAGGCTTAACCATATTTTAGAAATGAGGA